TGTATGCCACGAGATGAGAAAGGGTGAAAATCACTAGCCAAACTCCTCATTTAGGGCCCTAGAAAAACCAAGAAGTGAAAAACAGGAAGTGATTTGGAGCACACAAGTTAGCAGGGCATAGCAGGGCATAGCAGGGGTGAGGTTCAGACTTTCTCTGGAGTCTCACTCTCTTCCCCTGACCTTCCTAAAGCCTGGTCCTACTGCTCTCAGTCTCCAGTCTGGGCATTAGAGAAGCATGGCCCTCTCACAGAGTCTCTCTATGGTCCAAGCATCTTCTTCCATCTCCCAGCTCAGTGGCAGGTGTCCAGTGTTTCTACTTCAGCAGAACTCTAGCCCAACACCTGCTACTGAGAAACAGTCTATTAGGAGCTGATCCTCCTGCTTAATTTTACCCTGCTATGTGCAGATTTGGTAAGTAAATGAACTTAACTGTTTGGGGGAGGAGAGAGAGAGAATGCCATGACACTGGAGGAAGGGCGTCATGGCATTCTGAAGAAGCAGCAATTTTTATAACGATCCTCCCAAACGGTCGCCTTGTTGATCAGTTTGTTCTCATACACAACTGCCTCTTTAAGCAAGCTGTTATTAAAGTCCCATTATGCAGGCGAGACAGATCTGGTAGAGAACTGATTACCACATCCCTGCCTTCTACTTGACAAATCAGCTCCAACCTCCCCTCCCCACCCCAACACACACCGCACCCACTAAGAGGGGGGTGAATCGTGCTCTAGTCAACATCACTCATAGGCACTTTCCCCTTTTATTCATTAGGAGCACTTCTTATGCCAGGGTGGCCTATTGAGTACATGTCAAATTTTGAAAGACAGAAAGGGTTGGAGAAAGCAGAGAGGATTTACATGAAATCAAGGGTTTGTGATGATCTTTGCAGATAGGAAGGAAGATGAGGGTTGTTCAGAAAAGTCAATAGGCAACTGATTTATTAACTCCACTCAGTCTTGTGTGGAAGCACCTGAGGGGCTGATGGGGTTCTATGTGTTCCCCAGCAAGGTAAGGCAAGGCAAATGGAGAATCCTTGCTTACTTCCTTATAGCATTCACTCACTCTATGGGGCATGCTTGAGACTGGGACTCCCACAAGGACAGAAACATGTTCTGGGCAGCAGAGTATCCTTATAACCTGGACAATAGCTGGGAGGTCAGTGAATATTTGACAAATAAACAAATGAATAAAAATAATAGCTACCATTTATTGGGCTCTTACTATATACTTTACAGCAACTTAATAACACACCATTATCCCATTTCATAGATGAGTAAACTGAGTTTTATAACATGCCCAAGCTCACAAGGCCAATACATGTTGGAGCTGGGATTTGAACCTGGGCATGAACCTTTGCTGTTCTGCCTCCAGCTATCTCTGTGAAGATTCCCATGACTGACACAATTGAAGGAATCTGTGGCAAACTCTGTAGCTAGCCAGAGCGGATAGGAAGATGATGTAGAATCAGTGGCTGCCTTCTCTATCAGTAAAGAACCTTAAATTTAGCCTTGAGACCAGCTAGTTGACAGTGGGGGCCTTTTGTGAGACAAGTGGCTTCCTGGTGAGTATCAAAGAAGCCAAATGCAAGATACTTTCTTCTTAAAAGACAACCCCATGCTCTGAGTCCCATAGCTCCTAAAATTTGTGGTGCTGATTAGTACATGACTCAGAGAGCATCATAACCTCACAAAACATTGGGATTAGCTCCAATGCCCAAACTCCTGAAATCAGTAATGTACTATTGCCTTCTACCTGAGGCCAGCTTCTCTCTGAGAATAATTACTATAGGTTTCCAAGGTCAAAGTGAACAAAAGTCTCTTCCCTCTCAGGGCAGTGAGAAGAAGTTTCATTTGTTTCCTGCTACATACTCCACCAGAAGATGCCATAAGCATGGCATATCAAATTAATTATTGGGCATATCAAGTTACTTATTGTCACCAGAAAAACATCAAGTTTTCATGGATATTTCTGCTTCTTTCTACGAGGATGTCTGTATCTTCATATTGATTTATAAGAGCTCTTTATGTAAGAAAGACATCATCTATTTCCTATGTGTGGCAAATTCTTTACTCCCTTAGTCTTTTTACCTTATATTTTTACTTACGTTTTTTATGTATACAAGTTTGATTGGGACAATTCTTTCCCTCTGTGGTTTATGAAATCTCTCACAGACCAAGATTATATAAACATAAATGTTTCAGTTTGTTCATGTAATTCTGAAACACTGAATTCTTCAATTCTGTTCAGAATATATTTTAGTTATGAGCTGAGCTATGGATAAAATATTTAATTGCTCACAACTTAGTCCAGCTAATTGGGCATAACTCAGCCCATAAGGTCCCCTCTGAGAAATAACAACAAAACTATTATATTCGTTAGTCCACTGAAAGTTCCTGTAAAGAGGTGTGAGTATAAATGAAAGATCCAAGAGATGACAATGGTGAATCTAGCCATTTTGGATTATTCAAACCAATGGACTCTGCTTTTTTTAAAGTTATTTCTTACTGAAACTCATTTTGCCCCATAATAAGAGGAAGCAGGGGCTATAGATATCCCCTAGTGGTTAGAAGAGCTTGTTAAAAACACATTCTTTGTTTGGGTAAGACCCCTTCCTGCCAGGTAAGATGCCAAGGGAGTTCCTCTCACTCTGGCAATCCCAAAGTGCTTGGGCCAGGCCTCTTGAAATTAGATTCTCCTGGAGGTCATGGTCAAATTCAAGTCTAGAGGCTAATCCTTAAGCTATAGAATAGAAATAAAACATTTTTGAAGATTAACTAGAAGCCAGACAACAATTGAACAGCTCATCATTCCAAGCCTCAGAGGGGGGAGCAAAGGGTGGGAGTGGTAAAGGAGAGGCATGGGCCTAGGTTTAGGGATCTATAAATATTTTTTTACTGGAACATGTACGGCTTAATGGGCCAGCTCTGCCTCCTTCAGACTGTTGACATAGAATGCCTAAGAGAAGGCACTAAGGATAAATCAGAGCTTGGTGGCAAAAATCATAGGAAGAAGCAAAAGTGAAAAAATACAGACTGAACCTAGGCATTTTCCCTAATGAGAATTCAGAAGGCTTTCCTTTGATGTGTTCTATAATTGCTTGCTTCATTGTGTCAGCCAAAGGTTTGTGGGGTTTTCCAAGATAAGAAAGGGAAGATGAATTTCTGTAAAATGTCTCTCAGTCGCATATATTACCCATTTCTTAGACTCTTTGTGGTTTAAGTGCATAATCCTAGACCAGTACCTGTTCGCCCAGCCCCTCCTTTCAACAGAGTGTACTCCAGATTCCACCTGACCCACCAGGAAGGAAACAACTGTCAGAGAGGCCGCATCCTAGCATCTGGGGTTTGGTGTGGGGCCATTGTTCCCTTCCACTAGGGTGATAACCAAAAGATTGCTTCTAAATGGAGACAATGCCTCCACGAGGAACAGCATCTTTTTTACACAAATGGAAGCTGCATCTTGCATGAGGAAACAGTTTTCCCTCTTTCTCAAAGTAGCCTCAGGAGCTGGAGCTCTACAATAATGGCTTGTTACCCAGTGGTTACTTCCAAACCTCCAATGAAATTCCTTCTTGCTAAAATGAAAATGAATTAAATATTCCAAACTCATATTTTTAAAGGAAAACAAAAACAAATAATGACCACAAAAAAACACTTCTATATTTAGTTTTCAGACAGCGGTGCATAGAGCCAAACAGCTGGCTAGACACACACGTATACCTACGCCCCCACACACTCACACACAGGAGAGCGGAACATTCATGCGAGTCAGAGTGAAATGTTTCCAATGTGGTAAGTACCAGTATTTTTGTACATCTTGTCAAATAAATACCAATCCTTAAGAAACCCTGATTTTTTTTTAATCTAGCTAATCCTGGCCATTTGTGGGTGAGTGTAGAAAATCTGAAATGTTAAAGAGAAAAACGGAAGTGCTTTCTCACAAATGATACGAGAAATCTGGGTGCAAACTAAAAGAATTGCTCAGCCATTCAAATGTTATCAGATACATGTGCATGTTCTAAACCACCCAACCAAAATCCAGCTTTCTGATTAGGTTCTATGTCATAAAACTAATACAGGGTCAGGACCACAAAGTACAGTGTGAAATGTGCTTGGATATTACTCTTAAAACCAGGGTACTTTGGCAACTCCAAAATCTCATGAGCGTCAAATAGTGTCCTAAATGCCAGGTGTTCAAACTTTCCTCAACGCACATGCAGTAACTACTTTGAGTGAGCTGCAGAGTGCAGTTTGGGTGTTGACCTAGCAAACTGCAACAATATGGACACACTAAACTCCCCACTCTCATTCCTGATCATTCAACTCAAATTTAGAGGACTTGATATACGTGGCTGGCCTCAATCCACAGGGCCAGGGGGTGGGAAAGGATAGTGGTTTGAAGTACACACCATTTTAAACTCTCAGACACACCTGGATTTGCATCCCACTTTCCAGGAAAGACACATAGGCTCTGAGCGTTGAGTGGTTCCATCTGTAAAATGGAGGTAATAAGCGAGCCCACCACAGAAGCGGTCATAAGGCTTAAGTGAGCTGATCTGTGTCAAGTGCCCAGCAAGTCCCAGTCACCAGTGATGCCAGCTTCATCAGTAGACACCATCCTCTTCCTTTCATGTGGGACTGGGTAGTCTGAGAAGAGTCTCAAACTACTGAAGGAAGAGTGTGCTTCTGAGAAAAATAATTTGTATTAGAATAAATATTTGCCCTGGCGTTTAATTTTAAATGTTTAATTACAAGATAAAAATGATACTACTGTCAGTAGTCCAAATAAATTGATTGAATGAAAAGAAAGAACCTGCCCCTTATAATATTTTTTCCAAGTGTTCTTAGAAATGTGAATGTCTCATTATTTCAGAATATAGGCACTACCAGCCAGCCCCAGCCCCACTCAAGGGTAACCACTGAAGTCTAGGTGATAGCAACTTTCGTGTGTAAAGTATTAGCTGATACAAACTGCCTGAAATGACTGCTGTTTCCTTGCAGGGTTGAAGAAAGTTTCAAAACCTTATTTTGGTCCATCTTTGGCTTGTCTGAAGTGATCTCAGTGGTGCTGAAATATGACCACAAATTCATTGAGAACATTGGCTATGTTCTCTATGGCGTTTATAACGTCACCATGGTGGTAGTGCTGCTCAATATGCTAATAGCCATGATCAACAACTCGTATCAGGAAATTGAGGTAAGACCGTTAATGGGAAATCCTCTCTCTCCCTTGGTTTAATTTACATTGCTGTTTTCAGCAATGAAGGCAATGATTGTAGAACCCCCGTGTTTTTAATGTGAAGCCAAAACAGCAAACAGGCATTCATTCTTCCTGGATTGCTCCAAGAAGCACTCCTGTCACCTGCCACATGGCATAGTGGGCACCACACATAAAATGGCCCGACAAAGGCAGAAAGACTCAGGTTCATGACTCTTTACTCTTTACATGTTTCCCCACAGGATGGCATACAGGTGACCCACAGCAAATCAAAATAACTGTATCTTTCAGCCCACATTCCCTCTGCCTCTCACATGTATTTATTAATTCCTTTCTGTATGCCATGCCTGTGGTAGGCATGATAATACAGAAATGACTAAGATACAGTCCGTGCCTTTGAAGAACTCAGTTCAGTGAAAAACAAAACAAAACATGTCAATCAACAAATTGTAGTGCCTTGGGCCAGAGCACCAAAAGAAGTCCTACAAGGTGCAGAAGGTGCAAAGCAGAGACTGTGATTGGCCATGGGGGAGGAAGCTTACAGAGGTGATGCCTGAAGGCCATTCAGAGACTAATACAATTCTGCCAAATAGATAAGGGAGTCAAGAGAATGTCCCAGGATGCATTCATCAAAATTAAAATGCATAAAACATAATCTATTGATTGAAGCCTTGTTTAGAACAGCAAGAAATTAAAAATAAACTAAATGAGCATTAACAGGAATCTAAATAAATAGATTATGGTGCATCTCAACAGTGAGATACTGTGCAGTTTTAAAAAAAGATGACGATGTTCTCTATACACTGATTTGGTGAAACCTTTACAATAGAGTGTTAAGTGAAAAAAATCAAGTTGTAGAACAATATACATGGTGTACTCTGTCTGTGCAAGAAAGGAAGAGAGGGGAATACATATTAATTTATGATTGTATAAGTATTTGAAAGAGTACCTGACAGATGCACAGCAAGGTACTATTAAGAGGTGGTTATGATTGTATAAGTATTTGAAAGAGTACCTGACAGATGCACAGCAAGGTACTATTAAGAGGTGGTGCTAGGGGACAAAGGTGGTTGGATGCCTTTCCATTTATACCTCTTTGTGTTTCAGAAATCATGTTATTTGATTTATTTATTATAAAGTTATGTAAATAAACTAAAAATTAAAACAAAATAAAATGCACTAACCCCTTCATTCAATAATTCCAATTCTAGGAATAGATCCATGCAGAAATATGATTTTACATAGTTTTTCATTAAAGAAAAACTTGGAAGTACTTCATCAATATTAGAATATTTAAATAAACTGTAATATAGTATAGGATACTGTATATAATACTATATATACAATGAGAAAAACTTTGTGCTGACATAGCAAAATTCCTATAATATTGAGGGGGAAAATGCAAGTGATAGAAGAATATAAGTAAATCTTGTTTACATACAAATGTGAATATACAGAACGAAAAAGTAGAGAAAGATAGAGAAAACATTCCACACCTTCTGGGGAAGGGAGTAAGAGAGAGGAGTTTTGAAAGGGACATTCACATGTGCTTGTTATATCTCTGCACTTAAATCTTTTATAAGAAACAATTACTTGTGTATTTCTCACATAGAAAAAATAAAGACCTCCATGTATTAGTTAAGTAGATCTTCCATAACAAAATACCACAGACTGGGTGGCTGAAACAACAGAATGTTATTTACTCACAGCTCTGGAGGCTGGAAGTCAAGATCAGTGTCAGCAGGGCTGTTTTCTCCTAAGGCCTCTCCGAGGTTTGCAGGTGGCTGCCTCCTCGTTCTGCCCTCACATGGCCGCTCTTCTTTGTGCATGCATCCCTGGTGTATCTTCTTCTCCTTATAATGACATCAGTCATACTAGATTACGGTCCCATCTTTATAACTTCATTTAACCTTAATTACCACTTTGAAGGCCCTATTTCCAAGTACAGTCACATTCTAATGTATGGAGGATTAGAGTTTCAACATATAAGTTTTAGGAGGACACATTTGGTCCATAATGCCCTCCAAAAAAAGTATGCTAAATAGTAGGAACAACACAGAAAGGGGTCAAACGATGTGATAGATTAGGCAAGGAAAAGCTAGGCCCTGAAGCCCTCATTCCCCCTCCCCCCTTCCCCCTCCCCAACCTCCTTGTACTCTCCCCCTGCAGAAATGCAGCATCTGTTGAGAAACATCTTTTTTTAAAGTGCTATGCCCATTTGGTCACCTATGTTGATGAGCTATTGCTAACTAGTCCTCCCTGCCCTTCTGGGCCTCAGTTTTCCCGTGTGTAAGAGAAACCAGTAATCCGTGGGTCTCTGTACCACTCACCTAAGAAGGTTGGCCCCATCCTAACAAGCATATCATGCTTTGGTCCAAATGAATGTGAAATGTAAAGCCATGTTATTGATGCCTACTAGTTCGGGGCAACCCTGTGGTTTGTAAAGTTATCCCAACAGTGTGATGACACAAGATGGACAGAGCTCACTGCAGCCCACACTTCTCCTCCTCAGGTGAGAGTCCTCGCCCCCCCCCCCCCGCCCCACATCTCACTGGCGGTGCGTGTGCAGGAACATGAGAAGTGGAATAAAGCCTCTTGAAAGTGCCCAGTACTCCAGATCACACTGAATTTTGGGAGAGTATATATTAATATAGCCTTCCATGAGAACACTTACTTATTCAGTCAGTAGATCTTGAGTATCTACTGTCCAAATCCACACACCCCCTGCTCTGCCCCACCTGCCCTCCTCCATCCAATCAGGCTGCCCACATGCCCTGGCTCCTTGCCCCCTTGCCTCCTCAGGAGCTGCCATTATCCTGACTCCATATGCATCATCACCCTCTCCCTTTCTATCTAGTCCTTCCTGTCAGCATTCAAGTAAGTCTCTGGATCTTAAAAGGTAACTACAAAAAATCCTCCCTCAATCTCACTTTCTAGCTCTCAATCTCTTCCTCTCCTGCTCTTTACTGCCAACTTTCTCAAAAGTTGTCTCAAGAGTTGTTTACACTTCTCACTGCCTCTCCTACTCATTAACTCCCACTCTTTCTCCACCTCCCAGATCACCCACACTTTAACCTGGTTGGGAACTACAATCCCTTGGATCTCATCTCAAATGCCAGTCACCAGCACAGCCTTCCCTGATCTCCAGGGCCAGGCCACAGGCCTGAATACCCAGAGCCTCCCACGGCTCTTAGCACAACACTAGGTAAAAGTCTAGCTGATGTATTGTTTAACATACTTGTGTCACTGCCAGAGTGTGTGTTTACAAGGGCATGGATTGTCATCCCCAGTGCCTACCTAGCATATGCCAGAATAATAGTAGGTGCTCTATAAATGTTTGCTAAATGCCTGAAGGTTGAACACTACACACTGTGTAAAGCTACAGAGATAAAAAATAGTATCACCATAGCCAGTTTTGCTCAGTGGATAGAGCATTGGCCTGTGCACTGAAAAATCCCGGGTTCGATTCCAGTCAGGGGCACATGTCTGGGTTGCGGGCTCAATCCTCAGTAGGGGGCATGTAGGAGGCAGCCAATCAGTGTTATTCTCTCATCACTGATGCTTCTATTTCTTTCTCCCTCTCCCTTCCTCTCTGAAATCAATTTAAAAATATTTTTTTAAAAAAATAGTATTTACTGAGGGTTTACCAATAGTCTGACACTAAGTGTTTTTCAGGCTTTAACTCCTTTAATTCTCAAAACAACCTATGAAGTAGGTATTATTATCCTCATTTTACAGATGAGGAAACTGAGGCCCAGAGCAGCTAAATCACCTGCCACGGTGACAGAGCCAGGAGGGCTCCAAAGCCCATGTTCCCACCACTATGTTACCATTCCTCTCAGGCCGAGTGTCCCTGTCACACCTCTCTGTTGTACAAGGAGCGCCCCTGCCCTCACAAAGCTCTCAGTCTAAAAGGATGCCCCATAGACCAGGCCAGGTGCTGATGGGGTCTCAGCAAAAGCAAACAAAATGACCACACCTACTGGTGACGACCTTATATCTCATGGCACATCCCTGCAACCTCACACAGATGCTTGAATGTAACCAATGCCTGTGGGGAGAGGAAACCACCATTTCTAGAGCACATACTCAATGCCAATCTCAGGGCTATGTGAGGGAGGCAGCATCATCTCCGGAGCCCAGGCCCTTGTCTAAAGTCACACAGCTAGTAGTAAGGGGTTGTGAGCCCAGGTCTGCATGATCCCAAACCCAATGCCTCTGTCCTAGCCGCAAACCCCTAAGGAGCCTGCCTACAGAACACACCTGCTCCCACTTGGAAGCCCAGTTAGCATTCAGGCACTGACACCAACTCAGAAGTAACAGGTCTGGGGTTTCAATCTACCACCACCACCAGGGAAGGGGGTAATTATAGTTACTATAGTAACAACTATAACTGAAGTAATTATTACTAAGTCATAGTTATTATGGCCTGACTAACCATAGTCAGGTTTGTTCCCCTTGAATTGCATATGCAGAATCTCTTAGCACCTTCCCTGGAAGCATTCTAACCAATAGAAAATACTCAGTAAGAAATATGCTGTGGTGTCCAATATGGTAGCCACTTACCACATGTACCTAGTGAACACTTGAAGTATGGCTAGTCCAAGTTGAGATGGGCCATAAGTACAAAATACACACTGATTCTAAGACTCAGTATGAGAAACTGTGCAATAGCTCATTAATAATTTTTATAATGATTACTTGTTGAAATGATAACATGTTGGGTCTACTGGATTAAATACAATATATCACTGAAATCAATTTCACTTGTTCCATTTTACTTTTTATATTGTGGCGACTAGAAAGTAAGTTTACCTATGTGATCCACCTTTGTGGCTCACGTATTTCTGTGGACAATGCTGCTCTAAAAGAGTAGTATGTTGATGGTGGTATCTCAGCAGAGCTGTGAATGTTTGTGGGTAACAGGAGTAAGTGGCCATGAGATATCTTCTTTGGTTAGAGGCAAGTGGACAATATTGGTAAAAATACCCAGTGTGAGGGGAGAATGAACTGGCTGCTGTTTTCCCTGCTGAATCCAAGAAGTGGAGATCTTTTGGAATGACTAATTGCATAAGGTTTTAGCGAGAGCAAACTCCCCAGTGTACCCCTGTAGTGAGGATCCACAAGTGTATCGGAGTCCTGTTTAGAAATCTGCTTCCAGAACTTGGAGGCTACACCCCCACTCCCACCCCCGAGATGGAGTTCGACTGTTAAATCATGGTGTCTTGTTTCCCTTGTTCACAGGAGGATGCAGACGTGGAGTGGAAATCAACCCGGGCAAAGCTCTAGCTCTCTTATTTTGATGAAGGAAGAGCTCTACCTGCTGCTTTCAATCTAGTCCAAGTCCTAAATCATCGATTATATCATAATGAGAACCAAGAGG